GCTCGGAAAACGAGAACATCATTCTCGAAATCTATCACTGCCTTAAGTGTACTCAGAGTCTCCACTGATAGGAGGATGGGCCCCTTCCCTTCCTCCAGGGTGTGTATCTGAAGATGGCCGGGTTTCCCAGCCGCTTCTAGCAACATCTGTACAGTCGAAGCACAGCGATTTCGGCTCGAGTTACCAAAGGAAAACACTGGACGATTGCTGGGATCGATGCCTCGAACGCCATCGTGACCTCGTTGCTCACGGTTCTTCGCCATGAGGCTCTCCACCGCCGCAATGGATCCCAGCGTCTTGGTTGCTCCTCCGTCAATGACGGCCATGCCCTCACTGACTGCTTCTTCTGTCGTCAGGCTAGTCCCATTGGTCCAAGCTATGTCAACGTCACCAAAACACACAAAGGGGGCATGCTGCGGCTCATTCTTGTCCTGCTTGTCTGGACAGTTAGCCGCGCGATGCCCAATCCGTCCACACTTCAAGCATGTCATCTTGCTATCATCCGGAGGGTGGCCTCGCTGGCCATGGCTCCCTCCGTTGCCTTGGTAATATCGCCTTGACAGCTTCACAAACTTCTGCTTGGCTCGCGCCTCCTTCAATGTCCTTCGGGCTGTCTGCATGGCAGCCATGGCCTCCTGAATATCTTCCTCGGCAGCATCCATTGCCGCCAATCCTTCTTCATTCATGCCATGTTCCACCAGGTAGCTCCGGTCATAGTTCTCGCCGGCGTCCTCATCCTCACTAGCTTCCTGGACTTCGCCCCAATAGCCAGTGTGGCGATGACCCTGGTCCCGGCGCTTCAGCTCATGGTCGGGCCACTGCGTCCTTAACTCTTGCGACACTCGTTGCAGAGTAAAGTCCGTGCCCACTGCCGTCTGGATCATGTTCCGATCATGCACATCCAATCCAGAATCCTGCAGCATGTACCACGCTTGCACAAAGTCGGGGAGGATATCCTGTAGGGGACTGGTGGCACTCATGCCTTGAGTCCGGCCTTGGCTCCAATTCCACGAGCCACCTGTCCACCCATAGCTTCCCCGACCCCAGCTCCATGGGTCCCATGAGCTCCACTGGTTCCACCCACTGTCGTAGGCTCGCCACGGCTGGTATCCTTGATACCAGTCCTCCTGTGACTGCTCCTCATCATCCTCGTTGGGGGCCACATTGGTCGCGGCCGCCACGGGTGCCGCGGGGTTGCTGTCGTTGGTGGTGTAGCTGTTCTGTGTCGCCGCCGAGTCCCAGCTATGTCTCCTTCCGTAGTCACGCGGCCCTCCCTGGGTTTCATCGGCCGCTGTCGCGCTGGTCTCTCTGCTCCCATGGTGCGGCTTTACCCGCTGTAGCGCCTGTTGCGCCCTCAGGTACAACTCACACTTCCGCGTCACATAGTCTGCCATGGACTCCCCCGCCTTGCGGCGTCCATGTCTGAAATATTTGTTCAGAAAATCTGATAGTTCGGATACCTGAGGTCGTCCCAGACAGCTGCGCAAATACTCCAGTAACGTATGCACACCATTGGCATGCGAAAGCCACCCTGCTGGCTTTCCCAAAATCAATCGCTTCGCGGGTCCTGACAGCTCTCCCGCCAGCCGGGGTCCATTCAAGTATCGCTTATGGTACTCTGTGGACTCCTGCCAGAGGAGACAGACTTCCTCGTACTCCTGGTACGTGGAGCAATTACCGTCCCAAGTTGGAACGCCGTCCTTGGTGCGAACAACTCCAGTCACTGCGGTAGCACTCGTCATCCTCAGCGGCGTCGCGGCTGAGGCCTGAGTCTTCTTAGGTCCCTGGAATCACCGAGCCAAGAGCTTCCCCACTCTTGGCTCCGCTACCATGCGAGCGCCAAGCCCGCAGTNNGCTGGAAGATAGAATGCTCTAGCACTGACAGCTCCAAAGCAAGGGCAGCACGGCAATCACTATGGCACGGCCTCGCGGTGCTAATGAACGGACGCCCTTTTTCCTTGATGACTGTACGAGCTGCAGACTCTCAGACTGCACTTGCAACACTCACAAGCATGCTTGTGTAGAGGAGCAACTCAAGCTTCGCTTGCAGGGTTTAGGGTTTAGGGTTTGAATTCCAACACCTAACTGGGTTGGGGTGTAGGCTTCAGGGGAGGAACGAAAAACGTATCGCTTTCGAACAATTTCAGAAGCCCAAACCACACAAAGCTAAAAGGATCCCCGACATTGACCGAGAAAGCGCCAGAGAGAAGAGACTGTGGTCTCCGGACCTCACGGAGGGCATCGGCATCCTTGCATTGGCATGTAAGGTTCAAGACTTTAAAATCTGGGGCTAAAAGCTCTAGAATTGAAAGTTCGGAGGTTTGGGGTCTTAGGTTTTTGGGGTATGGGGTTTCAGTGGAAGCTTGGTTTTATCTTTTCGGACCTGGGATTCACGGCTTGTGGTGTAAAGTGTTGCCTGGTGTCACAGTAAAGCCCAAAGCTTTCGATTGGCATCGAGACTTTAGCGCCCCTCTCGCCCGCCCCCGGCCCCGGCCAGGCCCTCTTATTATAAAAGATTGAACCCCGAGCCCTTAAAGCCCTGAGCCCACACCAGCCCAACGCGTTTGGGTTTATCCTAAATTCCTGAAACCTAAGCCCTTTCGGGTCGATCCGGTCCCTCCATGCGAAGAGTGTAGGGTCAACTCCTTAACAAAAACCTAGAGCCTAACCAGGTTAGCATAGGGGCCTGAATGGTTAGAATGGGGTTTTGGGTGTGTTACCGTAGAGTCATAGCAACATGAGGAACCGTGAGGAACATCGTTAATGTACTATTTTCTCAGGCCCTGTTAGTAGGATTACCAACCTAGCATCCGGCTTCTGAACTCTAGCTGGGCGAGCGGTGTATACATCGTAACTTTTGGTGACGCGACGCACAGCAACTTTACAAACAGAAACCCTGAACCCTAAACCCTATACTTGGTGGGGATCCAGAAAAGCACAACAAGGGTTTTGGGATATCCAACAGATGATCCCTTCATTAAGTAAGCTAATGAAGTAAGGACTCCAGGACATCCCCAACCCAAAGTCTATGTTTGAGCGCTTTTTCATTCCTCACTTAGCGGGGGGGAGACTTAAGGAACCTCATCTTAATCATATCAGGAACCCAGAGGCCTAGCTTTCAGGGGAGGGGGAACTTTGCCCCAAAACATTCACCCTAAAGCCTAAACCTTAAACCCAAAACCNNCCAAAACCCTAAACCCCTAAACCTTCTTCCCTCCCCGGATGGGCCTTGCCCACCAGACACTCCAAGGCATCCTGGCAACTGACCGCGAGCCCCGCACCCCAACCGACTCAGAGTTTAGGGTTTAGGGTTCCCGACCCCTCAAACTCGACCATAGTCCTGCATTGTGGTTCCTTGTTTAGGTTTTAAACGAATTCAAAATTCAGGGTCCTATAAGGTAACCCCAAACAGGAACCACAACGGAGAGTATAGGTAGACCCCAACCCTCAACCCCGAACTTTAAACCCCAAACACCTACCCGAAACCCCAAACCCTTAACCTTTAGCCCCAAACCCCACACCCTGAACTGTGAGCTTTCGGAGTTGAGGCTTTTGGTGGCTCTGGGCTTAGAGGCTCACAGCGGTTCCTGGGTATTGGGGTTTAAGGTTTTGTGGCGTTGGAGTTTACGTTTAGGGCTTTGGGGTACTAGAGTATAGGGCATATAGGGCTTGAGGCTTCTAGGTCTTAGGGTTTTGGGGGATCTAAGCGGAGAAGATGTTTCAAGTGCTCCACCGTCAGCAGGCTCTACTTGTTGATGTTCGGCTGCAAGTGCAGGAGGTCCTCCTCCAGCTCCCCATCCTCCCCAAAGCTCCGACATAGCACCGCCCCCGAAACACTCAGACTCAGAATCCCAAGTCGTACAGGCCTGGACCCAACCCGAAACGCTGGAATCCAAACCCAGCTGCAAAACGATTACGACGGAAAGAGATGTGCGCCCGTACGGTACAACTCTAACATCGAAACCTTGGAGGAACCCTAAACAGAACCCTTCAAGAAACCCTTATAAAAACCTACAAAGCCCGCCGAAGTACCTATTTAACAACCCTTATCAACCCCCGTATAGAAACCTCTAGAACCACCTTACAGAACTCACCCTAAAGCCTAAACCGAAAAAGGAGCACTTAAAAGACTCCGGGCTAGGCCTTGGAGTTGTCCAGCCGTGCGAAAGCGAACCGATATGCATCCCGGGCCTTGGTGGCAATGGGTTTAGGGTCCCTTAGGGTTTAGGGTCCCTTAGGGTTTAGGGTTTAGGGGTTAGGGTTTAGGGGTTCAGGGTTGCGGGTGGTTTAGGGTTTAGGGTTCTCAGACCTCAACACTAAACCCAAACCCTTATACACTAAAGGGGAAATGGATTATGGGGACTACTATAAGGGACCTCGAAGGGACTATCATACAGCACCAAATATCCCGAGCCCCTACTAAGAACCTGGGAGGCTAAGAAGTGAAAATTTAAAGCGCTTTAG